CCGAATGTACGGCTTCGTCGTCAACACAAACTCGTTGAACATCACCCACTCCGGGCTCGTGTCCAGCCCGCAGCTCGGGTGCAGCGCCACCGCCTGGTTGTCCTTCACCGTCAGGTACCCGCCCTTCTCGCCCTCCTTGTGCGCGACCTGCATGAAGAACCCGCAGACGAGCGCCCGCCGGATGTTCGTCCACAGCTTGTGCTCGTCCGACGTCGTCACGAGCTCGATCTCGTAGCGCTCCATTGTGCGCTGGAGCTGCGAGCGCACGTTGTCGGCCTGCTGGAGGGCGCGCGCGGAGAGGTAGTTTGTCCAGCACCAGTTCTTGTCGCCCTTGTCTGAGCAGAGAGTGTCAGCGAGCCATTCGTACGGCAGGGCGTGGGGCTACCTACTGTTGGCGTAGTGGTTGTACACGTTCATGAGCGTGAGGTGGTCGCCGTCTGGTACGGTGAACATAGCCTTTGCTGCGTCAGCCTCCTTGCGTTGGTTTGCCGGCCTCAGCCACACATTGGGCACTGTGCATATCCCATCAGATGCATATCTTCCACAATGATGTCATCGGATGCTGACCAGAAAGCATGGCGACAATCGTGAGGATCTCATTACTGCAGTTGAACTCCGGGCTGACAATCAGCATCTTCGCCATCTATAACGCATGTCAGCATCCACCATGCGTCGCGCCCCACAACCCTGAGCACACACCTGCGGATCGAGCGGGAAGTCCGCCATCATCGCCCCCAACGGCGTCAACTGCCCCTCATCGTCCAGTGCCGCAAGAAAGTTCAGCAGCTCCAGTGCACGCATCAGCGTCTCCGGCGCAGGCGCGTCCACATAGTCGAAGTGTATCAGATCATGAATCCCCAGTTTCGCGAGCTCCAGCACCGTGTTCGCGAGGTTGCTGCGCAGAATCTCGGGGTGCGTCTGCTCCTCCAGCTCCCGCATGAAGTCCTTCTTCGTGTACAGCCGGAAGCACTTGCCTGGACGCGTGCGGCCTGCGCGACCGGCCCGTTGCTGGGCGGATGCTTTGGAGATGGGTGACACGAGCAGGGACTCGACGCGGATGCGCGGGTTGTATACTTTCTGCTTTGAGAAGCCAGGGTCGACGACGTACACGATGCCGTCGATGGTTAGTGACGTCTCGGCGATGTTCGTGGAGATGACAATCTTTCTCCCGGGAGGACCGCCGGGGGTGCGGGGCGGTGGTGCGGGGTCGAAGATGCGCTGTTGCTGCTGCGGAGGGAGGGATTCGTAGAGCGGTACGCAGACAAGGGGTCCGACACTGTTTGGATTTTGGTTGACGAGGTCGTTCGCTTCTGCCTTGATTTTCTTGCACGCGTCCTCGATCTCCTCCTCTCCGGTCAGGAACAGCAGGATGTCACCCGGATCCTCCGCGCGATGGATGATGAGAACCGTCCGGATCGCGGCCTCCACGTAGTCCGGCTCCGGCCCCTGCGTGTAGAACACCTCGATAGGATGTGTCCGTCCAGGGACCTTGAAAAGCGGCGCGGGGTTATCTGCCCCGGTCAAGCTGAAATACCGCTGGAACTTCTGGGCATCGAGCGTCGCGGACATGACCACGATCTTCAGGTCCGACCGTCGTTTCGCAATGTCCTTCAGCAGACCCATGAGAATATCAGTGGCGAGTGTGCGTTCGTGGGCCTCGTCGAGGATGATGGTGGAGTATCGGCTGAGCTCGTGGTCGTTCATCGCCTCCCGTAGGAGCATACCGTCGGTCATGTATTTGAGGAATGTCGTGCCGGGTTCGGTCATGTCCTCGAACCGGATGGAGTAACCGACCTGCTTTCCGAGTAGCACTGCGGGATTGGGTTAGCAATGTATTCCCAAACTCTGTCATCAAGTCTCCAATGTCAGGCATGCTCCGCTACGAAACCCTGGTCCACCGCAGATAGCTTGGGTCACCCAAGGCAGACGGTAGACTCGGATTCTACCAACCTATGATGTACTTTATTCGTACTCGCCCATGGGTACGCTGCTTACTTAAGCACCTCATACGAGTGCATTTACTTGTTGGACACCTACCTGATCGGAAGCAACACAACAAGACTTATGCTCGAAGCAGTGGCAGAATATGGCATAGCGCATGCGCAGAGAGTTCGAGCTCGAGAACAAAAGCATAGTATGACTCACCATCCATTTCATTTGCGACACGCTTCGCGACGGACATGGCCGCGACTCGTCTTGGTTGTGTACATGCGACAAGCTTCCCCTTGGTGTGCGGAAGGTCGGAGTAACACACGAACTGTGGTATTCTGGCGATCCAAGGTTAGCACAACGCGCAAGACGGCAGACGGAGCAGCTTGGGGAGGGTCTTACTGGGTGGTCTTGCCTGACCCAGTCTCTCCGACTATGATGATCACCTGATTTTTACTGAACTATGTAGCGTACAGTATTAACGATGTTCAGTGACAATGGAGACTTGAAGGGCAGTCGAACAGAGAACGGAGTAAGGACTCACCACTTCGAGGAACTCCTTCATCAGGGAGAAGACGGGGAGCTTCTTGCGGTCCCGGAGGATCTTCGTGTACTGCGCAGAATGAGGCCTTTTGGTAAACGGGTTGATGTCGCTCTCCTACATAGAGATGTGTGTCAGTGCTTTTGCCATGCAGGGATAGGATAGGCGGATACTTGCCATGGCCTTGGTTGCCTGGTCGGCAGTGACCTTGCGGGGGAGAAAGCCATAGAGCGGGTCCTTGTTGCCGAGCGACGGCGCAGGTCCACCCGAGTAGACCGCCGGCTTGCTGGTGTACGGGTTGTACGACATTGAGGATGGTGCACTCGAAAGGAGTGCGCAGGCGGGTACTACAGGCTACGGTGGCAGGACGGGGTCGGAAGGACATGGCTGCGTGGGATGCCTGGGTTAATAAATAAGTCAGTGTGTGAGCACATGAACCTGCTTCTCCGTGGGGATTGTTACGGAATGAGTGCAAGCTGCAGCAAGATGAGCTGAGGCACATGAGGACGGTGCTGCGGTAGGTAGCAATGCGTGACCTCATGTTATAGGCTTGCGGATGCCAATTACGTTATGGCCGGCTGGCCTAATGGTTAAGTCATGATGGCCATTGTGGCTCGCTCGCCCTTGAGGCAGACAGAGGAGGAGCGGCGGAGGAGGGACGGGGACGGAGAGGGACGAGAGGGCTGGACGTGTAGGCGCCCATTAACGCTTGCCTCGGCATCTTCCGCCCGAGATCCAGATCGACCGCTGAAGGACCAAGAACACAGCGTGATTCAAGTGGGGGGCATGCATGCATCACAACGACGCAACATATACGGGATAGTATGGAACTGGGAGAACAAAATTTGAGCGAAAGAGCAGGGGGTAGACCAAGGGGGAACATCGCCGGGACAGCAATTGGATATATATAGCGACGCGAACCTACTTCAACATAGCAGAGAACGCAACGGAGCGGGGGATGGGGAACAGACATTGGGACATAGGAACACATCACAAAGCAGGTGGCAGTAGCTTGGGGCCCAGGCGGGCAAGAACTGTTCTGCAAAGGGCGTAGGCCGATTGGAGATCGCGGAGGAGATACAACAAACCGCTCAGATACTATATCCTATAGCACCGTCTTACTGAGCGAGAGGCAGGGCCCCCTGCCTCTCAGTCCCAGCCGCTTCCAAACGAGCGAGTTCTTTGCGCAACCGTGCGATTTCCTCAGCGCCCGCCCGTGCGGCCTTCTGCAGAGCTTCCATACGCACCCGTGAGGCCTCCACCTGGCGTGCGGTTTCCTCGCGCAGAGCTTCCGCACGCACCCGTGAGGCCTCCGCCTCCGCCAAGTGGCGTGCGGTTTCCTTGCGCATAGCTTCCACATACACCCGTGAGGCCTCCACCTGGCGTGCGGTCTCCTCGCGCAGAGCTTGCTCGCGCGCCCGTGCAGCCTCCGCCCGGCGGCGCGGCGCCTCCAAGCGCTCGTTAACCTCAGCTCGCTTCAACTCGCAGGCCTGCTTGATCTCGCTATCATACAACGAGTCGATCTCCTGCTTCGTGATAATCTTGAATAGTTCCTTGAATGTCCCTGCCCGCCCCGCGAGGACGGGTTCGGCGTCGAGCGCAGTATCCGTCGAGGACGGTACGAACGCAGGAGAGAACAAGACACTCCGCGCACCGCGGCTCACTTTAGGGTCGACGTTGGTGTCGCCCAGAAGTACGCGGAGAAGCATCCCCGCAAACCAAAAGCATTGGCGGCTGGGGAGTATGGAATCTAGAGGGTAGCTGTTAAGGGCGGCGGCGGCGACAAGGAAGTCCAAGATAGAAGGGGCAGACGCCTCGTCGAACTTGTATCTGAACACGACTTTATCCCTGCTGGCGTTATGGCGGTTGTAGATGAAGGTCACCGTGTCTTTCGGCGGAGTAGGTTCCTCGTCAGACATAGCGGGGAGGGCGGAGGACTGGGAGGACGCGCGGAAGACGTCCGCAGCGGCCTTCTTGAGTGGATTGCCACGCTTCGGGTCGTATGAGCGTTCGACCCTGAGCTCACCGAGGACAGTGACATTCGGCCACCGTCCGTGGCCGCTGACGAATTCAACGAGGAGGTACTCGTGCTCGGAGAGAGTGCCCAGGCACTTCATTAGCCGTACGGTCCGGATGCGCACGGGCCCTGGGTCTAAGAGAGTGCCATCCGAGTCGGAGCTGCTGTAACCCTTGGCTATGAGGTGTAGTTGCAAGGCGGCGTCGACGGGCAGTGTCGAACCACGGGTGTCTACGTGAAATAAAGGGTTGAAGAGAGAGGGCATGGGGAGTCCAAGGACGCGGATGATGAGCTGAGCGAACGAGGGGATAGACATGGTGATACGAGGTATATGTACGGTTTGCAGAGCGTCGGCGTGTCGGCTGTCGATGGGTCAGTGCTTCAGTGCACAGTATCGCAGCGCGAACAGCCTGTCCCGAGCTTCGTGTGGCGTCCGACGACTCGAGGCACATGAGGTAGGTCGCAGCGCACAGTCACACCATGTTATGGGCCTGCACATGCGCGCTACGTTGTGGCCGGCTGGCCTAATGGTTAAGGCGTTAGTTTCCGGTTGACGAGACAGCTAAAGATTCCGAGTTCGACTCTCGGGTTGGTCGTTTTTGCGCGACGCGCCTTGGGCCCGCCTACGCGTCGACCAGGTGGTGTAATTACCTATACGAAGCGAAATTTTGGGCGAAAGAGGCGTGGATGTGAACATCCACGCACTAAGCGCTGGCGGACGCTACCCCTGTGGCAGTGCAACCCAACGAGCGCTCATTGCCAGGCAGTCTAAGTTTGGTCTAACTTTAGGGTCACTAACAATGTTCGCGTCGAATGGTGCCCACTGCCGACGTAGATGCACACACCGCGGGTAGCACGCATATGTATGTCGGAGTATAATTTAATCTGTGTACATACATTGCATGAGCTGACTAATAATATATCGCCCTCATTCCCTTCGACGCGGGTTCGCGAGAGCTGGGAGCATGTCGCCGCGCCGCGTCTGCGGGCACAAGGGCTTGTAGGCGGGTGTACTATGAGTCTGTGTCATAGAGGCGACTCGCACAGACGGCGGGCTGGACACGCGATGCCGCAACAGAGTGCGTCCGTGACGGAGGAGAGAGGAAAGTCGGTTCACCAAAAGTGCACCTGTATATACATGTCTATCTCGCGGCGTCCCGACACCACGCGTGTGTCACGCTCAGCGTGTTCACGCCGTCGCTCACTCAAGCCGGTCTTGCGCCACGGGACGAACGCGCTACTCATACAACACACTACCAGATAGTAATCTACATCCGAACGCGGGGCAAAGGAGCGGAAAGTCGAGACCTCGAGCACACCACCGGCTACAAAAACACTGTGCAAAGCAAACCCCTGGTGGACCTGAGCCTGGCAGGTCAGAAAACGCAGTCAAACTGGGTATCCGAAAGCCCACCGCTTTCCCCCACAACCCCGACACACCCCTCCCGCTCTGCACATTGCTATGATGACCGCGGCGAGCCCGCCGACCGCGGGCTCCTCGTCGCCCCGCCGCCCCCCGTCCGCGCAGTACTCGCCCCCGGCGAATAGCTGTCCAAGTACGGCGGCGGCAGCTCCTCCACGATCCCCCCGTCCCGATGCTGAATGATGATATCCGGCCCGTCCAGCTCCTCCGCCCCCGCCTCGTCCTCCGCGATCGCCGCCACAGGCGGGAGCCGGAGCGACGCGCCCCCGCGCCGCGGCTGCTGCCGCTGCGCCGGGAACGTGCGCACCACGCCCGCCGACTGCGAGCGCTGCACCTGCGCGCGCCCCGAGAACGGGCGCGTCGACGGGCCCGCGACCGGGCTCGACGCCGCGCTCCCCGGCACGCTCCCGGAGACGGACATCTGCGCCTGCAGCCGCGCGCGCGCCGCGTGCGCGCCCGCGTGCGCCTCCAGCGCCTTGCGGTAGCGCGCCTCCGCGCTGAGCGTCGCCGCGGGCGACGTCGAGTTGGGCGTCATCGGCACCCCGCCGTCGGGCGGCGTGCGCGGGGAGCGCGTCGTGGGCGTCGTGCGCGGGGTGGGGCGCGGGAGCGAGGCGGAGGTGAGGTACGGCGTCGGGATGGTGTGGCGGACGTCCTGCGTGGACATGTCCAGCGACGTCGGGCTGTCGGACTGGCGCACGGGCTCGTCGTCGGTGTCTACCGCCCAGGTGGGGGAGCGCCGCGCCTGGCTGTTGACCCGCAACACGCTCGACACCTGCGACATGTCGAGGTTCAGGCTCGGGCGGCCCGCGCCGCCTTGCTGTTCGGGGTCGTAGGGCGTGGGCTGTGTGACGGGTTCCGCTGACATCCGCTGCATCATCTGTCTCCTGCGGCGCCACCACCAGAATCCGACGCCGGCCACTAAGAGCAGAGGAACCACCACCCCGAACACGATCGCGAGCGCGATGGTCGTCGAGTGCGATTTGGCAGCAGAGGCCTGCGCCGCGGCGGCTTCCGCCGCCTGCTCTGCCTGTATTTGCGCCCGCGTTTTGGAGCTAGTGTTCAGTCCCGGACAGTCGGCGTCTGTGGACCCCGCAGTGTTGACGGCGACGGTCGACACGCCCCATTGACCCGTGCTGAAAATAGGCTGTCAGTGAAGCCGTCCAATGTCCGTGCCGGCAATAGCACTCACGCATCTACGACGGCGGCTAAATATACACTCTGTAAGCGAATTCGCTCTGGACTTTGTAGCGCGTTGCTTTCACTCACCAACCAGGGGTTCGTCCGGCGACGCGCGATTGATGTACGTGAGCACATCGTCCAGCGGGCCCATCGTGACGTTCGTGATCACGCCCGAGTTGAGCTGTCCGAGTGTGACGCTGTACGGCTTGGTGCCGCCTGTGATGGTGAGCCCCCACGGCTGGCACGTCTGGAGATCCGCGGTGACATTTGGGGTGATGCGGAGTGTCGAGGGCGTCGGGACCGGGATGAGGCAGGATGTGTCCTTCCCGTCAGATGCAGCTGCCACACCCGCAGATGGTCAATCCCAGCCACGCAAAACACACGCGCGGACGTACCGATCACATTGAAGAACGAGGGAGGGAACCCGGCCGTGCTTCCGTTCGAGTCCATGACCGTGAGAAGGAGCTGCGCATCTGGGCGACATGGTCGAATCGCGGGCGCAGAAGAGAGAACAAGGCACGTACTTCCGTGGTGGGTGTTTTGCCACAGGAGCTGGGTCGGGTCGCTGCCGATGGGCGTGACGGTGGTGACGCCGTCTACCTCGATGGCCATCATGAAGTATGGCGCGACGCCGAGAGAGGTTGTGCCGTTGAGGGGGATGAGCCGGATGGGCGACGTTTGGCATTCCACAATGTTCGAAGAGGTGGATTGCGTCTGACGTCAAGCGCGCTCAGTCTCCGTGCGACATTGGGGAACACGGCGGGGACTCACAGAAAAGCCCCAGTTGAAGCCATGGACGCTTTGGGCGCGGGCGGGGAGGACGAAGAGATGAAGAAGGAAGAGGGAGGCCGCCAGTATTCGACCTAGAGAATCCATTGAAGTTGCATCCGCGAGTCCCAGCAGGGCAGAGTAAAGCAGCACGGTCCCGAAAAGAAGAAAAGGAGAGAGCAGGGGCGTGCAGGAGCAGGGGAGAGGGAAAGACAACGTCCAGCGTCAGAACATGGAGGTGGACGACAACGAAGACGACCACGGGCGCGGGGGGAGGAGGAGAGCAGGGCGGGGATCCGAGGGAGGCGGGTGCCGAGGGCCAGGAACAGAGCGGGCGGCTGGGAGGGTCGCGACAAAGCAGCATCTCGGTGATGAGGGGGAGGACAGCGATTGGATGCGGCGTTATGATAGCAGAGGCTGTTCGAGCACTGTCGGACGTAGATACTGAAACAGAACGGCGGGTTGTGATGAGCCGCGCTGCGTCCGCGTATTATGAACTATGGAACGCGCAGAGACGTCTGTTGGACGGAGGACGTTAATGTATTTTAGAGGATGCCGACGCGTTGTCGGGATGGGAGTTGAGGAAGCGGAGGAGATACGTACACGGCGGTTCGGACTGCATCAGCGTAACCGGATTCGTCGGAGAGATGAGCGACGATGGGGGTGGATAGCAACGGTGGCGATGGGACCAAAATGAATTGATACTCGGGTGGATCAGGCGCACATCTGAGTCGCACGCCCGCACTGCTCGTCCACGCCGTCGTGAACGCTGCAGCCAAGTCCCAGCCATGACCTCATGCTTCGACGTCAAGGACAGCCTGGTGTAGAGGTGCGCGCTCGAGAGCAATATTGGCACCCGCCAACTCCCGAGCTGGAAGGCGAACACCGCGATGCCGGATGGCGTGCACCAGGTGACGAGCGAGCCCGGCGATGTGTTTAACTGGGACAGCACCGTCGTCGCCGAAGAGTAAACGATTTTGAAGGGCGCGCAGCTGTCATCCGCGGGCGAGGATGATGACGCAGAAGTCGGCTCGGACGATGAGGAGGAGGACGAAGAAGAAAACGACGCATACAACGACGACAAAACTGACTCGGAGTGGGTGATCGACCTCCCTGAGTCCGAGACTCAGGCGGTCACAGACCTTCTACTACTATAGACTTGCCTCCGCCCGCCGTACCTTTGTCGTTCGTACTCACCTCCTTCTCGCTCAGAATTCGAAGAAGTTCATATGGAGCATGCATCATACCATGCGCACAGATCTTCGTCGGCGCTTCACCTTCGGCATCACCTTTGCGGACACCGCGGTTCGCCTTTAGCATACAGTATGGATCGCGCCGTCATGGTCGGGAGCGATTCCTTTGACCTTAACACGATAAGGCGCGCCCTTCCACCATCGAAGTGCTTCGTTGACATTTTGGTCTATATTATAGGAGGCCAAGCTGCTTATTGATGTGTACTCCCGTTTCGCTTTCGCCACTCTCGATGGAGCCCCTCTCCTCCCCAGGCCCCGGTCCTTCGTCCAACCCAAGAAGAGCAAGCGCTAGAAGAAGCAGTACCGCATCACTGTCGGGGGCGAGCCCTACATCACCGTCGAGACCCTTGCCAATCAGGGGGCCGAACATGGGTTCGGGAGCTGCACGCGGGTGTTCCGCGCGTACAGGGAGAGCGACAAGTTGATTGACGCGAAGGACCGGAGGTACTACGCGGTCAAGGACAACTGGCTGGAGAGGGGGCGGCGCACCGAGTTCGAGATCTATGAGGACATCATGCGGCGCATCGGAGCGCACGATTGGCAGGGCCTGTACGACGTTGCGCCTGCGACGCCTACGGACTATCCCTGACCGTGTGGGCCTTGGGCTATGTAACGTGCGCCCGAGGCGAGCGCATAGAGGGCTCGTTCACATGCCCGCTCGAGGAGATGTCACGCCAGGGCAGGCGGGGGGGTGCACAAGGCCTCGTCAAACGCTGCGCGCAAAGCCGTCGCCACCAAAACCTCGGCTCACAGCGTGCAGACTAAGCGTGGGCACGATGAAGTGGACGGCGGCGTGGAGGAAGCTGTCGGCGAGTCGGCCGGTACCGATTCTGAGCGTCCCACGGCGCCGCTGTCAAGCGGAAGAAGGGTGCCGGGCGGCGGCGCTGACGGGTTTCAAAGTTCCTACGCACACTAGTGATCAAGCAACTTATCATATTCTTAGGTGTCACTGTGAGTTATTGACCGATGTATC